ATTCTACCGTTTTCTCTCAAGACTCCTATTCAGGAAATACAGTACATTATATTTAAGTCCAAGGGATGTAAGCAAGACTTGAGCATCTGCTTCGCATTGTGCAGGTGCTCACGTGTTCTCCCTAAACAAGAATTCTCTCTTGATTGACTCCCATGAGAACCAACAGAAAATACAGCACAAGCTCTATTATGAGCTTGTGAACTGAAGCTTCAACTCACTTCCTGCTTTTTTCCCCTTCCCACCCCTGAATTTAAAAAAAAAAACAGGAAAGACAAGATTTGGAGATCAAGTCAAATGTCCAATTTATTTTTATAACTTGAAACTGGAACAAACGTTGTTTTGAACGAGCGTACAAATGAAATGGTAGACACATGCTGAACTCAACTTTGTGACAATAAGGGAAAAAAAAAATAAAAGAGGCCAAAAATCTTGTACAGAGAATAAAAGGAACAATAAATATTTCACTAAGCCATATTGAAATGACCTCCAGCCATCTCAACATTTTATCCATAATAAAAAAAAAGTGCTCTCGTTTTTTAAACAGAGCACAAATACCAAGCAATAATAAATAGTTCCAAACTTGTAGTAAAAGACAAAACCTCCAAGTAAACAACAAAAGCTCATACAATAAGTAATAGAAAAAGGTAATAAAAATATTTTGCCTTGCCGGTACAAATGCAAACAACTTAAATCAACGTTACTTTGCTTTGCAGTTCTAAAATACAAAGAGCACCATAAAAATGAGTTTGCCTGTGATAAACAAAACCTTGGACTGTCTTTTACATAGGACTGGGATGAAATGCTGATTTTTTGACCCTTTCCTTAAAAATCAGTATTTTTCTTTCTAAAACCAGGTTCTCAGATCTGCCCTGTTGCCAAACTGGAGTTTTGCTCTGGACTTCAAAGGCAGCAGGACTAGACACTACGAAAGTAATAAATTCAACCTTAAAATAATAATAAAAAACTATTTAAATTGTGAAAAGAACTACGGCAGCATTCTAGCTATTTTATGTCTATGTTATATTGTGCTTATGGCCTAGTAAACTACAGTTCTTCTAAGCAAGAAGAAAAGGAGGGCCATTTCATTATCACTACAGTCTGCAGAAACACAACTCTTGTGCTTTTGGGTGACTTATTGTTAGCTTCAGTGATCTAAGTCACAAAAGTAGACAACTGCTGGTGTTAGCTATCCTGGAAAATTAAAAACAACAGAGAGATTGGAGCTCCTAAGCAATTTACACTAAAATGAAAGGTGAAATTCTTTCTTAAATCAACAAATTGTGGACTGAAAATACGTGGTTAACTTCTTTATCCTGATGCGTGTCCAAGGGATTCTGCTGAGTTCTGTAACGTGGCTCTGGATTTATACAAATGCCAGAGATCTGAATTTTCACCAAAAAGTTAAAAAGTGCTTTTAAAGGATCACATTCCAGCCTCGGCTATGCCAGAGTAATGCAGGACTAAAAGTGATGCATAATTCCTGATTTATATTGATTAATAATTGAGATCCAGAATTTGTCTAGAAGTCTCAGGGTACATTGTTGAAGAAGAATGTAGGAAGACATATCTATCTGTTAGGTAGCTGGACCAAATTCTCCCTGCTGTGACATCCATGCCTCTCCAATTGCTCCAGCAGTGCTGCACCAATGAAAGCAGCGTAAGAATTTGGCATGGCAATATTTTGTTGTTGTTGTTTTTTGTTACTGTCATTTCTTGCAAAAGTGGTGAGCATTTTTCTCCTCCTCCCCTTCACTAGAGTATCAGTGACTCTTCTGCCACCTGTCTTCCCCTCGACCCAAAAGGGAGAGAGCACGAGAGAGAGATAAAGAAAGAACAGGAAAGAAGAGAGAAATCAAAAGGCACAGGATTTCATCCCAGTCACTCAAACATTCAGAAATTTATGGAATGTACAATTAGGAGTGAACAGCAGCAAAGCAGCTAATAACATGGACTGGCAAGACCTGTACATGGTGTAGGTCCTGTTCTGACAGGGAAGAGAAGGGCTGTGCCTGGACCAATTTTACTTCAACCCGGTTACAGCTGTACCAACAGCAGATCATTTTACTATTTTATATCAAAGTGGGTGCAACAGCTCTCACTTTTTGCTATAAAACAACTTTCTTCTAGAGGGCAGTGGCAGGGTGCAGGGAGCAGTGAGTGGGGGTGGCCAGGAGAGGGAAGATGTATTGCACATCTTCTTGTTTGAAAGGGGGAAAAAAAAAAATCTCCTCTCTCTCAAATCTGCAGGGAAGCTGTGGGATATCACCTCAGACACCTTTACAGGAACGGAATTTCAGTTCACATGAATAGGCAGTAACCATCTAAGCCTGGTTCAACCATACCTGGTAAAACCTTGATGCAAGGGGTCCAGGCAACTTTGAAGTTATTTAGAGCCCTGTGGGAACAGCACTTTTGTAGGCCATTTATGACAAAAAAAAAAAAAAAATATATATATATATACACTACTAAAATTATTTGTGAACAACAACAAAAAAAATTA